TCATCAGCAAATAGGGATAGTTGAGCTCTTTTCCTATTCACATCCCTTTCTTTCTTTCATGTAATTGCTCTGGCTAGTTTCAAGGACTATGTAGAATAGGAGTGGTCAAAGAGGGCATCCTTGTTGTGTTCCAGTTTTTAGAGGGAATGCTTTCAAATTTTCTCCATTGAGAATGATGTTCCCCTGGGTTTTAGCATACATAGCTTTTACAATGTTGACATATGTCCTACTATCCTAGTTTTTCTAGTATTTTGAGCATGAATGGATGCTAAGTTTTGTCAAAAAATTTTTTTTCTACATCTATTGAGATGATCATGTAATTCTCATATTTAAGTCTATTGATGTGATGAATTACATTTATTGATTTCTGTGTTTTGAACCAGCCTTGCATACCTGGGATGAACCCCATTTAATCATGGTGCACTATCTTTTTAATTTTTTTCTATGTGATTTGCCAGTATTTTATTAATAATTTTTGTGGGCTGGGGATATAGCTTAGTTGGTAGAATGTTTGCCTTGCATGCGCAAGACCCTGGGTTCCATCCCCAGCACCACACACACCAAAAAAAAAAAAAAAAAAAAAAAAATTTTTTTTTGCATTTATGTTCATCAGGAATATTGATCTGAAATTTTCTTTCCTTGATATGCCTTGTCTGGTTTTGGTGTCAGGTGATTTTAGCTTTATAGAATGAATTTGGAAGGGTTCCCTCCCTTTCTATTTCATAGAATAATTTGAGGAGTATTGCTCATGTTTATTTTACAATTAACGTTCAGGTTTTTTAGTTGTACTTCATGGAAGAATCAACTCCATCTTTCTGAAAGGGAAATCTGTATATTTTCTTTTGTGAAGTATCTGTTCATGCCTTTTGCCCATTGATAATTGGGTGCTGGGTCTTTCTATTATTGATTTATAGGAGTCACATATATAGTTATGAGCCCTTTGTCAGATAATCTTTTGTAAATATAGCCCTCCAGTCTATGTCCTGTCTTTTCATTTATTAAATTGTAAATTTTGATCAACAGAAACTTTAAATTTTGATGAAGTCTAATTCCAAATATTTTTCCCCCCTGGTACTAGGGATTGAACCCAGGCACTTAACACTGAGCTATATCCTCAGCCCATTTTATCTTTTATTTTGAGGCAGGGTCTCACTAAATTGCTTAGGGCCTTGCTAAGTTGCTGACACTTGTCTTGAATTTGTGATCCTCCTGTCTTAGCCTCTGGAGTTGCTGGGATTATAGGAGTATGCCACTTTGCCCAAATATCTTTTGAAATAATTTCCTTTGCTGATAAATGAAACAAAATCAGCTCTGTTGCCTGCAACTAAGAGTGCTGGCTGATAGAAACCTTTAGAATTACCTTGATACTTACACATTTATTTTACACGTACATTGGTTTTACTTATTTGATAATTACACAATGATTTTAATGCTCAAGCATTTCTTGAACTCATTTTTGCCTCCACAGAAACTTTGAGGCTCACTAGAAATTCGATTCATTACTTTAGAGTTTTGCCTAATTTTCTACCTCAAATACCATTTTAGAACTTTCTCATCGGTCATATATATTTGCTTCTGTGAGCTTTTGCTATTGCACAAATAAAATTCCCTCTCAAGGGATGATAAATTGCCACAACAAATATTATTTGAATGGCTCTGCTGCTAGTTCTGATGGTTAGTAGTTAGCTAGTTTTCCTACATATCCAACAGCATATTTTTAGTTAACACACTTAGTTGCAGACTCTCGCCAAAGTTAGGAGCTCCTCCATTTTTGTTCTCACTCAGAATTTAGTCTTTTCACATAGAGTGACTCTGTGGCCCCGAGTTAACAGGAGGAAATTCTCATCATATGCTGAGGGAGAGTCCTTCCAGCCCAGAATGGTGGAGGGAAAATGAGACAACTCCTCAGCTATTCCAGAATGAAAGTAGTAGAAGAGCACCTGGTACTTGATATTAGAAACATCTTCTCCCCATAAAACAAATGATTTGGAAATAGTTGTGATTTGATATACTGTAGCTTTGCTGTCTGCTTATATGGAAGTCCAAGACTCCTGAAAACCTTAGAATCTTTTAAAGCAAGTGACCCTTCCCTGTGTCTTTCACTGAGGAAACAGTAATGGCATTGATAGAGCTGCTCCTCAGTTCAATGGTGATTCTCCATGATGAGGGGATAAGTGCTGCCCATGAAGGATAGACGACAGGGTGACATTCCATCCAAATGGGATAGAACTACCAAGTGATTATTGAAAGCTAAAACAAAGTGCCGTGAATACCATACCAAGGGGAATGGCAAAGCTTCACATCCTTGCCTTTGATCTTGTACATTTTCATCAAACTTTGTAAGTTTTAAGGGCTCAGGGTCAGCTCAATGGTTGAGTGCTAGCCGAACATGTGTGAGGCCCTGGGGGTTGAATATACAACTGGAAGATTAGTCTCATTTAACAACTTATGCACACGGAGTCCTAGTTTTGTTGCTTTTTTTTCCTTTCCTTTTCTTTTTTTTTTTCTTTCATAATAGACTCAGCTACTTATGTATATTTAAAATGCTCTAGAGCTGCTTGGTCACTATTCACTATTATACACATTTATTACATAGAATTGGAGTAAGTACTTACAGAATAAGGGTGTGTGTGTGTGTGTGTGTGTGTGTGTGCGCGCACACGCGCGCGGTACTGGAAATTAAACTCAAAGTTCTTTATAACCAAGCCAAGTCTCAGCCCTGTTTATTTATTATTTTTAGATAAGGTCTCACTAAGTTGCCTAGCCTGACCTTGAACTTGTGATCCTCCTGACTCAGCCTCCAAGTAGCTTGGATTACAGGTGTATGCCATTGTGCCTGGCATGAAATAAATACTGAGACTAGGACAGACTGCCAAGTTTATTCTAATAAAAGGTTAGTTTTTGTTTATTTATTTTTAAATAGTTCATGGTTTCCCAGGCTGGCTTCAAATTCCTGGGCTCAAGCAATCCTGCTTCAGCCTCCCAAGTAGTTGGGACTATGGGTATATGCCACTGTACCCAGTTTTGTTTGTTGTTGTTGTTTTTAACTAGGAAAATATAACCCCTAGATTAAAAGCAAAATGTAAAAATCATGTTTACACAAAATTTAAAATAAAAAATTGACATATTCCTGAATTTTCCCTTGTTCAATATAAATTTCTATCTCTGTTCTTGGTATTTCACATCCCTATGTGCAGGATGACAAAGGAGCCTCCATCTCTTACAGACCTTGGCATTGGGAAACCTGTCTGATTTTTCTCAGTACATTCCTGTGCTTTGTAGTTTCATAGCATTTTGTGGACTTGTGAAGTAGTGATTGTTTCTATCAAAAACCCAAGGACTCTTGGATACAGAACTCAGGTTCATTTGAAAATCAAGACAAAAAGCATTTCTGAAAATACTGTTGGTAGCTTTTTTCACAGAACAAGACTGAGTAGACAGTTCTTAAGTCCCTTTCTACTTGTACAAGCAGATAGCCATAAAATATTTCCTGTTAATCTTGCCAAAAATTCATGCAGATTGGTTTAGTTTAATTGCACTATATATTTGATCATATATATATATATGTATATATATATATATATATATATATATATATATATATATGTCTCTATATATATATATATATATATATAAAACATATGAGTGTGTTCAATAAAATGATAGCCCAGTAACAAATGATATTTTATTATTTAAATGATCTTACAATGTCAACATCAGTACTAAAAAATATAAATATAATGGGCTGAATTCATCAATGGGTAAGGTCAACTATAATTCACTTGAAGGTCCTCACCTTCTAAAGTAAGCTATTCAAACATTCATGAAAATCCTCTATTTTGCAGAATATTATTAGAGCAAGGCAAAGGCATGCCTATTAGCAGTAGTGAGAAAGGCAGAGATGAGCAGATTGTCATAAACATCACACGTGCTATGAGCACCTCTCCACTCCTGCAGGACTGAAAATTCTGGGTTTCAACATTCTTCAGGATTTAGCAAGTCAAAATAAAAGCATAATTCAAATCTAGAAAGATGTAGACTTAAATTTGATATTTTGTTCTTTTTATAGTGTTCACAATTAAAGACAATTAAATATTTCTGTCTACTGAGGTTTTTATAAGTTGGGATTTTGTGTTGAAATTTTTTTTCGTGTGTGTGTGTGTGTGTGTGTTTTGGTACCAGGGATTGAACCCAGGGATGCTTAGCCACTGAGCCTCATCCCCAGCTCTTTTTATTTTCTGAGACAGGGTCTTGCTAAATTGCTTAGTTGCTGAGGCTGGCCTTGAACTTGCGATCCTCCTGCTTGAGCCTCCCAAACTACTAGGATTATAGGTTTGCACCACCATGCCTGGCTTTTGTATTGAATTTTAAAAGATGCTGCTTTGCTATATTTCTAAGCTAGTAGGAGCAATAATGTTTAAGCTCAATGAATCAACACAGGGCTGGTAACTGATGAGTCTTTAAAAGCAAAGACACACAGAAAGAATTTATGTTTTTCAGAGAATATTTTAACAGGTAGGGGCTTCCTTTGTTTGTACAGTCCATAGTCAAAGAGAAAATTTGGATTAATTGTTTTATTCAGAAAATAGGTATTTATTTTCACCAATCAGTTATGTGTCTGTGCGCTGGGCATGTGCTGATTTGTATGTAAGAGAAAGAGAGATTATTTTTCAGTTTAAATAAGCCTCTGTAACTTCCTGAGAATTCTCTAATTAGGTAAAATACCGACTGGGATATTCAGTCTTCTTAACGGGAATGGTAAGCAAAGTATATTTTGTGCATTCATGAGAAACTGAAGTAGATTATTGCTTAATAACCTAATGGGACATCTGTTTAGACAGATGTTTTAGTTGAGAGAAGTGTAAACATGACTCTAAATTTACAAATAAGTTGGTTATTCTTCCTTGTCTAGAAGATTGAGCCAAAGTTTACACAGATTAGAAGAAAGGTTGAGTCTAAAAATTCAAGGATATCACATAAATGCAGGTACAGTAACAAAGTCAGTTGGCAATTATTTTAATGACTATTTACAGGACCTCTGTTCTTTCACCTGGAGGCTCACATGCAAGTGACCTGAGTCACTCCGTCCTCCTGGTCAAACTGTCCTTCGTCTAGTTCCCGGAGGACACTGTCGCTGCTGCTGAACCCCGAGAAGCCACTGCACTGTGCTGGCCTTCCCTCCTTGGTCCAGCATTCTCCTGAAGGCGAGAAGCGGCCCTCTTCCGGCGGGACTCTGGCCTCCGTAGGCTGTGACCCGCCTTCTTCTAATCCGATGCTCCTGCAGCTGACTTTGTTTCTGTCGTCGCCTTTCATAAAACGGCTTGCTTTCCTCTGAAACACAAGAGATTGGCAACCAGGAGTTAAAAGACAGTGCTTCCTGTGCCTCTGCTCTGGCACATGCTGCTTCTTTGCCTGAAATGTCCTTTCCCTGCTTCTGTTCAAAAGCCTGCTCATGACAGGGCTGGGGGTGCAGCACAGGGGTAGAGCAACTATTTAGCCGGCAGGAGGCCCAGGGCTCAAGGCCTGGGGTTCAATCCCCAGCATGGCAAAAAATTATCTAAATTAACTGTAGTCACCCTCCTCATCTCCTCCCTCTACCCCATTTTGCAACTCTTGAATGTTCCTGGTACATCCTCTCACTGGCAGGTGAGTTGTATACACCTAAGGAGAGAATTGTGTTCCAGTCATGTTTGGGAACAAAGCAAGGGAGAAATACAGATACATTTTGTCTTGTTGGAGTTGGCTGGGATCTAGACAACAGCAACTGTGCTGAGAGGCCACCCTACCCCCATTTCACCCGACCCCATGGCACAGGTGGCATTTGAACAAGTGCCTGGGATGTCTTCCTCAGCCAAGCAGACCCATTGCCTTATCTTGCTACAAACTTCTTCTGCTGATGGTATGAAATGCTCAGCAATTTGATCTAGTGCATTCGTCAGACTGCGATAAGCTGTGGATGTTTTGCTAATAAATATTTACTGAGGACTGACCATGTCCTTGGTACAGTTCAGAATAAAGAGGACATGGTCTCTGCCAAGGAAACTAAGTCAAAAATAAGATATCTAAGTCAAAAAAGGAGCCTAAGGAGAATCAGCAGCTCAACATGGATATTCGGACTCCTGATGAGATCTTATTACAAGAGTTTCTTTAACACTGATACAATGCAACATATGGAATGTGATCCATAATCTTAGGCACATAAAAAACAAACAAGGATTTAAAGATAAATTTAAAAAGCACAGTAGTTTCCCTATTTAAAGTGTCTTTTTTATTTTTAAACCAAAGATTCATTTATATGTTAGTTGGCAACTAAGATTATATTTTCCTAAATGTAAGAATGAAACTCTATGAAAAAACTTAGAAGCCCATGCTGGTCTTCCCAAAGTGTGTTAATCCACAGGTTTGTTGAACTGTAGTGTATAAAATATATAAGTATTTTCTACTGATTTTCATGGCAAATATAGAAAACAAACAACTTTACTGAATTGGATTTTATGGGCTATATGGAATGAAACACCATGGAGACATTAAATAGGAAGATCAGCCCCAGGTGTTGCTTAGAAAGGAACACACTGGCAGCACCCGGGCAGCTCATTTTCTCATGGTCGACTTGCTGGAGTCTGTGGGCAACTTTAAGGGAAAAATCTACCTGGTCCTTCCTCAGCAAAGGCCCAATTCAGATATAGTTCTGTGGTGCTCACATTTTCCATTGGCACCCCGCACTCACCAAATGCAAATACTAGATAATTAATCCTTTTCCTCTGTTCCCATTCACCACATTTATTGAATTCAGCACAAGCAGTTGAAACCTGAATTTACTCTCAGATAGGATACTGGATTTGAGAATGGCACCTTCTCCCTGGCACTGTGTGTGTGGTCAGCAAGGATATAATCTTTTGGCTTCAGGCAGGAGTGACAAGCTCTGCCAGACTGAGCTCCTTTCTCCAGCCTGGTTGGGGGTGCCTTTCCCACAGGAATAAAGAACACATTCACTCTCGAAAGATGCTCTCAATGCTTTTAACACTCATTGAATCAAAATGGGAAGGCAGGGGTGCCTAGTCCCTTGGCTGCTTGGATCATTCCTTCCTCACCAGCAACAGGGCCAAAGGTGAGTTTTGCAAGAAATTCCTAATTGTATACAAGCTAACAGAGGCTAACTCTCACATATTTAATAAGTACTTACTTAATAAAAATTGAATATTTCTCAGATATTCATATTTCTCCACTTTTAGAGATGATCACTAATAAATTTCACTTCATATGACAAAATACTTAACATTGTACCTCTAAAAGAATTCAGAACACACATTTTTATTTTTTCTATCCATGTGACTGATAAATTCAATAAATACATCTTTAGCAATGAAATTGCCTCTCCTACCCCAACCCCATTCCACAGGAAATAACAGCTTTTCCAACAAACCAATTTGTAGTGTCCTTATAACTCAGATTGTAGGAGTCTGAAGCCCAAGCAATCTTTAGAGGCCATATCCTTAAATTCCCTTATTTTTTCAGAGGTAGAATTCAGGCCTAAAAATAAGGTAGGGTTTGTCCAAGGTCATGGAGTAGCAGGCCCCAAACTGGTGCCTGAGTCTCTACCTTCTTCTTTTTATAATGTATTGGTCACTTTGGTAGAAATACATTTGTGGTAAAAGGGTTTGTGTTTCTTAAATACAATTTTCTTTCAATTACAAAAATAAAAATGTTCAATGTAGATAACTTGGCAAAAGCAAGAAAAAAGCAAACTCATCTATGATCCTATCTCCCAGAAATACTACTGTTAAAATTTTGTTTTCTTCTTTAAATACATATGCATTTGCATCATGTACACAATGTATAAAATATTACACAAAAAGTTTTATGCCTCACTTTTCCACTTAGTACTATTTTACAACTATCTATGTCCATAAAGAGAGATTTTTTCCATGCTATATGATAAGGTTTACTCACATACCTTTCCACTTTCTTATATTTTCACTATAAAATGGGAGAAATTTTACCAAGGTTTGGATGCAAATTTAATGCTTCCCTTGATTTAACCTATTAACTTTAAAGAGTCATTTCCATTGTCAAAAAAAAAAAAAAAAAAGAGGGGGGAAGTGACCCACTAAAAATACACTAGACTCAGTGACAAGTTGGTTGATTTTAGGATGTCCTACCACTCTACTTTTCATTTTTCACAGTCAGTGTCTTAAAAACAAAATAAAAAGAATTAAATTAGAATTACTCCAGCAATCCTAGGACACTGTGTTGGACGAGTAGGAAAGTGGCCTACTCATAAAGGACAGAATAGAAGAGTGATCAAGAGAGAATTTATAAAGAGATAGCAACGTAGAGTGGATGGTCAGAATTTATTTCCCTTAGATTAGGAAGCCACTTCAAGCCCAAGTATCACTCTTGGTTTGAGGTTTTGAAACAATGCAAAGGCACCACCTCTACCTTCTCTTTTCCTGGATCATCCCAGTTTGGGGCTATCAAAATCATTCAAGCCTATGAGGAGAAAGGCTGGAGTGGACTACCTACTTCTCTAGCCAGCTTTCTAAATTCACCTCCTATGCTGCAGTGTGGGCAGGTGACCCCAGCAAATCCAAAATTGTTCCCTGGGGCTATTATACTGACTCTAGGATAAAGAAGTACTTCTTTTCTTTCCTTTCTCTCTCTCTCTCTCTCTCTCTCTCTCTCTCTCTCTCTCTTTTCTTCTTCTTCTTCTTCTTCTTCTTCTTCTTCTTCTTCTTCTTCTTCTTCTTCTTCTGTGTGTGTGTGTGTGTTGTGGGGTGGGGTGGGGGGACAACCTATAGAATGTGAGAAAATATTTTTGAACTATACATCTGACAAGGAGTTAATATCCAGAAGGTATAAGGAACTCCAAAAAACTCAATAGCAAAATGACCCCACAAATAACTCAATTTAAAAAATGGACAATAGATTTAAATAGATGTTTCTAAAAAAAAAAAAAGACAATGGCCAATATGTTCAACATCACTAATCAAAAGGGAAATGCAAATCAAAACCATGAACAGATTTCACCTTGCCCCAGTGAGAACGGCTATTATCAAAAAGATTAATACTGGCCAGGATATGGAGAAAGGGAGCCCTTACATACTGTTAATGGGAATGTAAATTAGTACAGTCATTATGGGAAACAGCATGGAGGTTTCTCAAAAATTACAAATGGAACTATGATATGAAGCAATTCCATTCCTGGGTATACCTATCCAAAGGAAATTAAATCAGTATGTCAAGGAGACATCTGCACTCCCATGATTATTGCAGCTCTACTCACAATTATGAAATGGAAACACATGTTCATCAACTGATAAATGTGTAAAGAAAATGTGGTCCATTTTGGAATTTACATACATATATAATGGAATGCTATTCTATCATAAAATTGAATGGAATTCTGTCATGGATGGAACTGGAGACCATTATGTTAAGTGAAATAAGCCAGGCATAGAAAGACAAGTACCACATTCTTACTCATGTGGAATATCAAAAGTTCATCTCATAGAAGTGCAAAATAGAATGGTTATTACCAGAGGCTGGGGAGAGTTGGGTGGGGGGAGGAAGGGAACTGTTGATCAATGTGTACTGAACTGAGTTACAGTTAGGAGTAAGAAGTTCTATCTATAGATAACAAATTAGTACCATATATCAAAAAAAAAAAAAAAAAAAAAAGCTAGAAGAAAGGATTTTGAAAGTTTTCATCATAAAAAAGTGATAGAAATTTGAAAATATACATGTTTAACTTAAATTAAACATTATTAAACATACCAGTACTCCATTAATATGTACAATTTTTATGTTTTTATGTATCAGTTAAAGTATAAATCCAATTTATATTTAAAAAATTGAACTCCTGGGCTGGGGATATAGCTCAGTTGTGCTTGCCTCACATAGACATGGCCCTGGGTTAAAAAAAAAAAAAATTAATTGAAGGATCCATTCGGTCCATCTTTCTTTTAGTAACCAAATATCTCCCCTTGAACATCCCATACTTTTGTACTAGCACATGGCTGCCCAGATTAATCTTCCTTGCCTCCCTTGAAGATGTATGTAGAGTCATAAATAAGTTCTGGCCAAGAGGAAGTGAAAACAAATGATGCCTATGGTGTGAAAGTCAGTCTGAGAAGCATGCTTGGAATTCCTTTTTCCTATTTCTCAAGGCTGAACATGGTAACAATTGCTGTAGTAGCCCTGGGTCCAGAGGCAAGAGCCAGACACTGAGGTGGCAAGGCTGACTGGTCATGAGGCAGAGCCATTACCCACACTGGAGTGCCATCCTTATACTATTACAAGAGAGAATAAGTCCCTCTTCCTGCATTAGCCATTCTTTTCTCTGTCATCTTTGTTCGAGTAGCTTAGAAACTAATGAACAACCAACATGGAAAAAAAGTTGCTGGAAAAAATGCTTTTTAACTTGAGACAATTTCTTTCTCTCAATTTTCCAAATATGAAAAATGTCAAGTAATACAGAAAGTTTGAAGGAGAGTACAGTATGCACCCATGTACCCATAACCTAATTCAACCTTTTTAAAATATTTTGCTATGTATGTATGTGTTCAGGAAAGTACAGAATCATTAATAAATTACATTTCTATATAATAGTTGAAGGTAAATTTTAGTTGGAGAAAATAGAAGCCCTATATTCAGTTTCTGAATAGTTTCTCCATACAGTTAGTAGTGTTTAATGGTATTAAAAGAAAAACATTCCTATGAAAACAATCGCTCATACTGTCAGGCATTGTGCCAAACACATCTACATGTGTTTCAGACTGAATCCCCCTAAGAGCCCTGGGGTATGTCCTAATGTTAACTGTATTTTATAGACAGGGAAATGGAGGTTTCGAGAGTGCAGCAGACACTGTGTGTTTCTACTTGACCCCAAGCCCCAGAAAACCTTTCATGGTTGTTGCCTACTCCTGAGGCCACCATTGGATGAGTTAGTAGAAACCAAATACTTTAAGTGACCTTTTGTTTCCTTTAAATGAATATCAAAGGGAAAGCCAGGCCCAGTGGTGAAGACTTGTAAACCCAGTGACTCAAGGGGCTGAGTCAGGAGGATTGCAAATTCAAAGCCAGCCTCAGCAACTTAGCAAGACCCTGTCTCATAAACAAAAACAAAAAGGGCTGGGGATGTGGCTCGGTGGTTTAGCACACCTGGGTAAATCCTAGTGCCAAAAAAGTAAAAATTTTTAAAAATTAAAAGAAAAAAGATTCAAAGGGAACATGGGCTGAGTTTTATTTGAAACAAAAAATTAAGAAAGGAGATCTTGGAAGAAAAATTTAAGAGAACATTTAACTGGATGAAGGTAAAATCCAGATCAGAATTTCTTCCCCTTCCTAGCATGGCTATCTTTTCCTTGAATCCATTTAGAGACTGAAGGGAAAGCGAGGAATGAGAAACGGGTAAGTGAGAAATGAAAGGCTGAGACCAGACAGAGATACACATGAAAAGTTTATTTGTCAGAGTTGCCAAATAAAGGCCATCTCTCTATAGGAGAGAGAGAGGCGAAACAGACTTGGGTTCTGGGATTTTTATAGGGCAGGCTCAGAAATCAGAGCTGGGTGGGTCCTAATGGTAGTGGATAAGGGTGGGGTTGGTATGAGGGAGTGATGAGCCTTTTTCAGAAACGCCCTTGGGCAGGAAAGTGAAATTTTTCTTAAAATGGAAGCTGTCACTTAAGATGGTTGTCCAGATGCTAAGCAAGGACCTTATAGAGACCTCTCCCTATAATAAAGTAAAAACAGATAAGAACAGAAAAAAAGAAAAGGACTTTATCACACCACATAACCTCATGTAGAAAAAAGGAGGTTAAGAACTTCATTGTACTTAATAAGAATTACATTACCCAACAACAGCCTTTATAGACAAACAAGACATTAAAAATGTAGTCTATGTAATTTACAAAGCAACTGATCTTTTGAAATTTTATTCATTTATTTATTTTTATTATTTTGAAATGAGGTCTTACTATATTGCCCAGGCTGGCCTTGAACATTTGGACTCACATATTCTTCCTGTTTCAGTTCCCGAGTAGCTGGGACTAGAGGCATGTGCCATTGTGCCCAGCTTGAAATTTTATTTTTTAAATGATCATACAGTAAAAGTGACTTTTGAGTGTATAGTTTTGTGAATTTTAACACATTTATAGGTTTGTGTAATCATAATCAGTACACAGAGTAGTTCTATCACCTAAAAAAACTCCCTTTACCCCTCTATCATTCTGTTATTCCTCCCCTAATCCCTGACAACAGTATTGTGATGTGTTCTTCACACAATTGTTTTGTTTTCTTGATGTCAGATGAATGGAATAATACAATCTAACTTTTTGAGCCTGGCTTCTTTTACCCAGTATAACACCTTGGAGACTTGTTCAAGTTATCATTTGTATCACTAGTTCATTTCTGAGTTATGTTTAATTGTATGGACATACCATAATTGTTTTATCCATCTACCTGTTGAAGACATTTGGGTTGTTCCCAATTTTCAGTAGGTATGACTAAAACTGCTATAAATATTTGCATATAGGTTTTGGTGTGAACTTAAGTTTGTATTTAGCTTAAGTTTGTATCTTAATTATTAATCCTAATTAATTATTAATATAATATAATTAATATAATTACTTAATTAATTAATTTAAGTTTGTATCCTGGAACTAGGATAAACATCTGAGAGAATTGCTAAGTTATATGGTAAATGTATGTCTAACTAAAGAAACTGTGAAAAAGTTTTCCAGAGAGGCTGGAAAGTACCATTTTGCACTTCACCAGCAATGGCATGACAGTTCTGTTTACTCCTTATCCTCACCAGTTCTTTCATTTTTCTTTTCTTTTTTTTAGCTGTTCTAATAGGTGTAGTATGGGGTATCTCATTGGATTTTCATTTGTACTTCCCTGAGGGCTAGTGGTTGAAGCATCTTTTCATATATCTACTTCTCATGTATATGTCCTCATTGGTGAGGGAGTCAAGTCTTTTAACTATTTCTTAAATTGCATTATTTTTCTTATTGTTAGATTTTGAGAGTCCTTGATACATTTTGGATACAAGTCCTTTGTCATGTATGTAAGGTGAGTTTATTTTTCCCCCCTCTCTCTCAATCTATGGCTTGTCATTTCATTCTTTAACAGTGTTATTCATAGAACATTGTCACTCATAATTTTGATGAAATCTAATTGAACAAATTTTTAATGGATTATGTTTTTGTGATTATGTCTAAGAATTCTTTGCTTAACCTCACTTTATGGGCAATTTATTCAACATTTTTTTCTAAAAATTTTCTAGTTCTACTAACATAGACCATCTTTTAACAGCTTAAAGAAAACTGAGGCCCACCCAGCACAGTGGTGTAGTCCTATTATCCCAGTAAATGGGGAGGCTGAGGCAGGAAGACCCCAAGCTCAAGGCCAGCCTCAGTAATTTAGCAAGAACTGTGTCAAAATAAAAAACAGAAAGGGCTGAATGGGAGTTCATAACCCACTTGAATCAAAGTGTGAAATATGGTAGATCAAGAACTATGTAATGTTTTGAACAACCAACAATAAAAAATTAAAAAAAAAAAAGAAAGGGCTGGAGATGTGGTTTAGGGGTAAAGTGCTTCTGGATTCAATCCCCAAAGAAAGAGAAAGAAAACTGAGGCAATAGTAAATGGAAGCATGTTTTGACTTGATAATTTTCATGTTAAAACTTTTTAAGCTACCTAGAATATTGCATAAAATATATGAAACATAAAACAAATTCCAAAAGTAAAGTCTTGATAACTGCAGAGAAAAATTTCCAACAGCAGACTTCTTAGACCTTTACTTTATTTATTTATATATTTGTGGTGCTGAGGATTGACCCCAGTGCTTCACACATGCCAGGCAAGTTCACTACCACTGAGCCCCAGCCCCAGTCCCTTGACATTAGTCTTACTAGAAGAAAGGGAAAATATTTTTTCCCCCAAGGGTCAGACTCTAGGTCAATATCTAACAGCTCATGAAATTGATCAGTTTAATAAAAACTCATTGACAATCCTAGGGCAACACTTGTCAAGTCCAAATTTCCACCGACTGTTTTTAGAACTAAACATCTTTGACAAAATTATCTGAAAAACCTATAGAGAAATCTCCCAAACAACAACTGATTATAAAGTACAAACAAAGAACAACAGTGCCATTACAAATGTATGATTGCATAATTTTTTCAAGGTATATTATAAATTTAACTTTCACAAAATATATATAGATAGCTAAGTTGACTGTGGTAATATTAATAGTTTTTGTATCTCTAGAGAAAACTAAAAGAATTTGCAAGTTGGCTTGTTGTTATAGAGGTTAGATACTCCAGATTGCTCTACCCACATGTTCTGCCTGAAATAATCTCAACATCCTGAAATTTTTAAAAAATATTTTTAGTTGTAGATGGACATAATACCTTTGTTTGTTTATTTTTATGTGGTGCTAGTCACTGAGCTACATCTACAACCCTTTTTATTTTATTTTTATTTTGGTACTAGTTCTCAAAATTTCCCAGTGTGACATTGAATTTATGATCTTCCTGCCTCAGCCTCCCTAGTTCCTGGGATTACAGGTGTATACTACCACACCTGGTTTATGATGTGAAATTTATGCCCTGTTTTTCTGGAGAAAAAAGGAGGGTGGAGAGTTTCTCTTGTATCTGCTATTTCTTAATTCCTTCAACTCAAAATAATCCTTATAGCAAAGTGGCATATTTTGGAATGGCATATTTTAGTCCCCTTCAGAACTATCTCATGTTGCCTGATGGCTAGCATATTTCCCTTCTTACAGAAGACAGAAGGGAACATTCAGAAGAATGTCTTCATATCAAGTCCCCACTTCATCATCTGTACTCACCATTTGGAATTACAATGAGAATTTAGGGATTAAATGCTTTAATATCATATCCAATTCATAAAGCATCAATTCTACTCACTTCTGGGGTCTGCACAGCTGAATTCCACATAACTGGCCTCTGAAGGAATACCACCTGCTTTGTAGCCAGATTCCCCTCACTGTAAAAAAACAAACAAGCACACACCAGCAATAGTATTTGTCAATCAGTAATTCTTTGTATTTCACACTTGGCTAGAAATGATCCACACATGTCCTTTGTAAAATAATCTTCTGACCCCCAAGATAATTATGAAATATGATTCTGTATAAGTTACAGCTGGGAAAATAAGATGAAAAAACAAAATATGGTCATTATGAAAGAAAGAAATTTTTATGTTTAAAAACTCTTATAATATCTCACTGTAACTGTTTTCATCTCTGTTTTCCCTCCTAGTCTTTAGCAACATATGTAGTTTTGTATGTCTATAACCACCACATATTTACATTTTTGTTTCTATAACTTTCATTGAATACCCTTTTCTTTGTTAGTATGATATGATCATATTATAAGAATTAAGATACCAAAAGGTACTAAGTCTTTTCTTTATTTCTGGAGAATAGGTTGTTTCCAGATAATTATAAATCATGGTGTTATAAAAGTATACATAATCTTCATCTTATAAATTATTTCCTTAAGATAAATTCTCAAGAGTGGGTTTACTAGGTCAAAAAAATATGATCTAAGCTTCTTGGTATGCATTGTCAAGTCTGCCTCGTCAAAAAAGAGATCAATTTGGGCCCCACATGTGAGAAATTTTATATACATTTCAAATGACAGACATCAGGCACAGCCAGTTTTATTTTCAAGATGCTTCTTTGTAGTCAGCCACTCAGTATTCTCCTTATTTAACTTCATCATGGCAAATTACCCCTTGCCAAAGACTACTTGGGGTTTGTGTTCCTCTGAAATGCTTTCCAGTCTCCATGGATTTATGGGGAGGAGTGTCTGCTGCTAATGTTGCTCAGTTACGACTTTTATTATGCAAAAAACCTCAACAAAACCTTACTATTAGCTGCATTTTATGCTGAGTTCTTTTTCTGGAAAATGAATGCAATGCTGAGATTCTGGCCCTAGTATATGTCAACTGCACACCATCTGAAAATCTCAACACACTGATGCTAGTGAATTTTGTGAAACATCAAATTGCCCCTCTAAGTGGTGATGGGAGACTGCTTCTTTTTTATTTTTAAAAGATTGCTTTTAGTAAAGTCTCATTTTAGTTGGACTTTATCTTCTATTAGAACTATTAAACTTGGTATGAAGTATAATGTAATTTTTGGGAACAACTTAAATCATTATAAGATACCAGTTGGTTGGAAGAAGGTATTTGCATGCTTACAGAACAGGCCAGACATGTGTTTAGGAGGCTCAAAAAACATAGCTTTGGAACCAGACAGTTCCTGGGTTCAAATTCAAACTCTACCATAGTACCTAAAGTGGACTACTTCAGTCCAAGTCTTTACATTCTCTGACTCAGTTTCCTATCAGGAACCTGATGACAGATGAGTCAACTGTGTATGAAGAGCTTCCTCTGTGCCTGTTACTAGCAGAAGCACGACAAATGTGATCTCCTTCCACTTTCTCCATCCCTTTAGTGGAATGTGGGGTGGAGTTCAGGAGAGGGGGAAGTATCTCAGAATCAATAATATCTCTTAGAGAGCAAGTTCAGGGGAAAGGGAACTTGAGAAGAGAAAAGAGATTTCTGAGTGAGGTTCAAGGTGTGCAATCCAGGTAGAGAATGACATGAAAGAACCAGGCCTACAACTATCCAAAGATAAGGAGGAGGGATCAGGGTAGAATTATTCTTTAATAGAAAGCAGGAGTGTCAGGGTAGGAATTGTGATGACTCTATAGGGACTGACCATGGCACGGGCAAGTGTGAATGCTCTAGGATGCAGTGTCTGGCCTGGGGCAGACTTCCCCAGCTTCATTGTGCATCCCAAACCCAAATGCTTGTTGATTCCAGATCTGTGGATTCTCCATTTCACTAGGCTCCACAAGTAGCTCTAATGTACTATATTTAGGAACCATAGCTAAAAAAGACAGACTTCCAAGAGTGGAATTCTTGGGCCCTGGAGATTACTTGGTAATAATTCCTACAATTCCTACTAGCAGAAGGCATTCAGTGTTTTTGTCCCTTAAATGATAACACCCATCAATGGTTCCTCTTGATGTCTAATTTTGTCTTCATATTCTTCTAATATGACTGTGTGTATTCTTTGTTTCTTTGAGTGAGTACCTATCAGTGGATATCTATGAGGTGTGGGAAGGAGAAAGGACATGGTCTACCAAAGCCTTAGTTGGTTGGAGGTGGTGGGTAGGTGGGTGTGTGGGGGGGTATTCATCAAGAAAAATAGTTCTCAGCTAGTCTGAAGCACAGTACCCTGGGCTGAGAATTATTGCCTGAATGTTGGAAATAGGATTCCCTTCACCAGCGTTCGGCTTGGTATTTACCACATCATGCAGAGAGGTAACATACTAGCAAATGGGAGGGCAAAAAGCAACCATAGTCACTTTGATGGGACAGTGAGATAGTCAAACTTATCAAACTTATCACTCCTGTGGTGTGAAGAAGATTCACCTGTGAGAGGGCAGGACTACTACTTCTTCTTCTTTTTTTTTTTTTTTAATTGGTACTGGGAATTGAACTCAGGGTTGCTTAACCATTGGGCTTCATCCTCAGCCCTTTTTATTCTTTATTTTGAGACAGGGTCTCACTAAGTTGTTTAGGACCTTGCTGAGACTGGCCTCAAACTTGTGATCCTCCTGCCCCAGCCTCCAGAGTCACTGGGATTACATGGCATGGTGCCCATCAGGCAGAAACTTTTAAAAGCAAAGACAAGTATCCATTCATAGGCAAAAGTGACAATGAGTAATACTTTCTACTGGCTCTGTGAGGATTGGTGTTGTGGATCCTCATGACATAAAGTAGTAAAGGCAGAGGTGATTTCTCAATTTTTCTGGGCAGCCTCCAGATGCCCAAATAAGTCTTTGGAAGGTCAACATGTGCCCACTTTTTGGGGAGGTCCTTGGAGTCCAATCTGCAATTTGAGAGATGTCTGCAAATTCTATGGCACTGGTGTTCTGAGGGCCATTCAGATTTAAAGTAGGTCCTGCTATTTTCAGAACACCAGTGAGACCATGTTGTCAGGATCAGCCACATAGGAGCTGGGCACCCTTAGCCTTGAGTGGTGGAGGTGTGGAGACTGGCTTCCAATATGCGCAGAAGCAGGTGGATCCCACCTCCCCTCAGCAGGGGAATGAAGCCTTGGGAGTGGGCGTCACCCAGTGAGACTGGGCTACACCCCCCTGAAACCCAATCCCTTGCCTCATTTGGGTGGAACTTTCTTGAGTATTTTCCCTTCAATAAATAGGGCTTCAGGCGCACTCTCTTGCTCTTTCTCTTTTTTGTCTGCCTGTCTTGTGGGAACTGGGGCCAAGGAACCATTGCTGAATCCCAAGAAAAAGGTATTTTCTCTGTCTCTGTGTGATTATTTCATGCCAACCCAATTCACCTGGAGTGACCCTGACTGATTTAGTGGCATGTGGCGGCACCATGTAATTTGGAAATTCTAATCATGGCAGAGCTAATACAAAGAGGTCAGAGCTTTGCAGAGAGATGCCTATTTGGTAAAGAAAGTGAGTATCTCATGCTGCCAGTAACTCTTGAGATAATTCTACTTACAGATATAGGATAGAGTATTTTCCCCATAGTGCAGACTGAAGAAGTCGTCATGGGACCTGAGAGTTTGTTTCAAATGCCCTGGATGCTTTCAGAGAGGACAGGGTCCACATCTGTTTCCATTCAAACAGTGATTTAGCTGAGTAACTAAGTCCCTCTCATGCCTTCTTGAGGGGAATTTAAGAATCTTCAGATTCCTTTTTAGATTATATATTTATATAGTATAATATATAATATATATATAATTATATAATATATAATTAATGTAGTCCAAATACTATATATATATATATATATATATATATATATATATATATATATATATGATAGAAAACAAATGCAGCCTTTTTTAAAAAAAAATGATTGATTTACACAAAATAATTTAAAAAGTTCTGGTACAACCTACATTGGTGAAGTATATAGCAAGTTGTGAAAACCTCTACTAGTCCCTTCAGGTCTGAGGTCAGAGATAGTCCTTAGTGCTGTTGTCAGCCCCAGGGCTCAGGCTGAGCAAGGGTGGGTCTATTGGGCAGTCCTGGAGGGGCAGAGTTTCTTGTCAGCGGAGATGGGCCAATACTGTGGATGAGACAGTGAATGTTTAGTTCCTGCATGCTTCTATGCACTTCATAAGAAAATACAAAGAAAACCCTATTTGAGTGTCATTTTAAAGAGAGGGATTTGGTATGGCAACAATATGACTATCAAGAAAAAGATCAGAGTTTCCCAAGAGCAAAATCTTCTATGGGCTAAATTAATAAAAATAACTTTGATCTGTGTAAGTGCTTTTAGTACAGTAAGTATTAGTCATGTATATTAGTGTACCTGTTTTAGATGTTAATCCTTCAAGGTGGACAGAGTGAATAAGATTTTCCCCATTTTATGGGTAAGGAAATTGGATCCAGAGCTTTAAGAGCTTTCTCTGGGGCCATTGCTAGGTCCCACTCTTTCCACAATATCATACTACCTCCACAAGTAAGTGTAGAAAGAACTCAGTGAAGCCCTGGCCACAGAAGAGAATGGCTTAATTTAATCCCATTTTCACCAGAAATCTTTATAATTAGTGGATAAGTGTAGATTATTTTGTAAAAGTTCAGATTTTTATTTAGCATCTCCTGAATTAAGCATTTCAGCTTATAATGTTCAGTGGTTATACTGAAAAATAATGAAGAGAATAAAAAGAAGTATTCATTTATCCTGAATCAAGTAGACTATTATAATAGGTCAGTCCCAATGTTAGTATCTCAAAAGGAAAAAGGAGCAAGTTCATGACCTGTTTATGACAAGTTCATAAAGATGAATCACTGAAAGCTTTGCCTAAAATTCCTCCCACGAATTTAGTTTTGCAAAGAGTTAGTTATTTATAAAAATAAATGATGAAAACAAAACTAAAAAGGAGTTCTATTGTATAGTTTGATAATATCCTTAGTGATATCTAA